TTATATATATATATATCTTTTAATGTAATTTTTATTAGGTTTTTTTTTATATTAGTGTTATTTGTTCTATGTAATCTTTAATACAACTATTGGGGGGAAAAAAAGATCCACCAGTTCTAATACTTCTGGTGTCTATACAGCAGGTCTACCAAGATGGGCATGATATTGAGAAATTAGTCTATAGATCTGTAGCTCTTTCTGTTACATCTAGGGTCGAGACAATTGCTAAGGAAGGTATTCAAGTCCTAAAATAGCCTCTGATATACAGTAAGTCATGAATTGCACAAATGGATGTTTAACTCACATGAATGTGAATTCTGGTCTTCCCTAGTGGCAGGGAAAAGGCTAGCTGCTTAAGGTTCCATTTTGGAGAGAAAGACAGAGTGTACATCTAATAATGTACCTTTTCTATCAATGGGTAATGCTGCTTAGATTAGTTTGCAGCTCAGCTCTATGTTCTGCTTAGGTAACACCATGAGACTTTGCAAAACGCCATGTATTAGGAAAGCAATTGCGCTCCTTGGTTGTAAGAGAAGGGTTGTGCTGTTACATAAACTTGTTTTTAACCTCTTCCCTAATTAGCACAAAAGCTAATTAAAGCTTTTTTCAGCATTCTGAAAAAATTGGGAGGTTGTACATTTAAGCATTTATCTTATTTTTAGAACAAGCGCCTTGAAACATAGAAGACATCAATAAATAACAGTAACTTCATATAGATTTTAAAAGCAGATTTCTATTGATCATATTGATCTATTACTTGAGGACTTGGTTACTTACAGTAAATGATGGTTGTGTTCTCTTTATTAAAGCACAGAGTATAAACTGGGTATCATATTCTCTACCTGTGACACATGGAACTGAGAGTCCAAGGAGTTATGATATTTATTTATTTAAAACTAATGTGGTCTTTGATGTAAAACTCCCTGAGCCTTCATAGCTGGAGAGTAATCTTGAAAATGTTATGCCGGTAACACATCCATCCTTGGATAGCATGGTGGTTGTTGAGTAACTCTGGGAAACCACCCTGTTGCAGGTTGCAGCCTTTACTTTGGTTGCTTAATAGTATCAGGTCCCAGGCAGACAATTTACCCAGACCCAGAGGAATGACTGTGGTTTGTTGTAGGATAATTAAAGCTAATGTACAGTAGTCAGAACATATGCCAGTACATATTGGTGCTGAGCATGGTTGTCTTCAGCTGCTCCACTATAGACTTTGGAAGTTCCCTAATGAAGGATTATTGGATTTTGGTACTAGGTCCTGAACTTCTATGCCCATTAACTATAGCGGGCGCAACAAAAATTAGTGAGATAACATAGAGGTATAATTACTGATATCAGATGGCACAAAGAAATTGATTTAATAACTTCCTTGCTTAAAACCACACTAACACTGAATAGCCATCTTTGACTGGTTTCTGTATTACCAAAGACACGAAGGAGCATTTTTTGCATATACTGTACTCAGATCTTTCATCTCCTCTTTGTCCGAGCAGTGAAACGGGAGGCTTTCACTACACCGTGATTTCTTTCCGTACTCCAAATTGGAAAGCTAAGTTTCATTTTTGGAAGATTTAAACTATGGTTTGAAGTCACATTGAGATACTGGCTTGTTCAGAAGCATTGCAGTTTCCTAATCTCGATAAAATTGAAATTATAGTTAATTTGAAGGGGGCTTGTTGGTTTTGGTTGGTTTTGGTTAAATTGCTTACATAGACAAAAACCCTGTATATACCAAAAAATGTTTTATTTAAACAGATGTGATCATCCGAAGAACATCACTGAGAGCGCTGAGTCATATGTGGCTTGTCTCTGTTTGTTACTGCCAATGGCAGCTGCCTAGTGTAATTAGCTGGATGGGATAGGCTCCTCAGAAGAATGCCAATATTTTCTTTACCTGTTTTTTAGGTTGCAGTTGCTCCTTGGTGGCTGCCAGTTAAAGGAGCAAACTGGAAGCACCCAGAAGGCCCGGATTCTGGTATCTTAAACAGGTGAGCCCCAGACAGTACTGAGTTTCAACTAGTATTTTGCTAAAAACATACACAAAGTCTCTGGGCGATATTTTACTACCCTGAACTAAATGTTAATGGATCTCAAGCACAAATAAATTAGTGATGTCAGAAGAAAGGCGCTTGAGATGGCTACCATAGATCAGGTTTTATTTGGGATGGGGGTGGGTGGGGGGAGAGTGGGATTTCTTGTTAGAATCCCAAAGCTTACCATTGTCTGAGGCAAGTACCAGCTGACATTTCAAAAGTCATCGATTTCTTGAGATAGGTTATATCCTTGGTACATTTTATTTGAGGGAAGGGAGATCCTATAAGTTGTTAATCACTGAGAAGCTTAATATTTTGGTGTTGGAAGAGGTATTAAGTGTCTACTCATATGTAAGTGATTCAGTGAAAGCACATCTGTCCTATACCTGGTAATTGTGGTTTTGCTTGCTTCTCATTAGATAACTTGATACAATGCATACTTAAATTGTATTGGTTATGAAAATTGCAAGGGTACAGGTAGTTCTTGGTTTTCTATAGCAATTGGGACCGGGATTGCTGTTACTAAGTGACATTGTTGTAAAGCATGACATTGTATGACTGCACTGCTTAGAATGGTCGCTGAATGAGTGGTTGTAACCCAAGGACCACCTGTATGCACATTTCAAATGTTTGAGGTGGGGGGATATTTTGCTTTTGCATTGGAATTTTAGGTTAGATGTTAGCTATCTTGTAGATACTTTATTTCTAGTGAATTTATTATTACATCACAATTATAGGTTTGATTTCATTTATTTTATCAAAGTACAGAAAACCACAGTATAGCTAAAATGATTTTTGTAAAGAAAAAATAAAAAGGTTGAAAGATTACAAATATGTATGCATTTGTTTATGCAAATTTATTAGCTCCCCAAATTTAGTACCCCACCCTATATCTCTTTCTGTTAAAATGAAGCAGAACTTTTAATATAAAGTCTTCATTTTTCCTCCTGGATCTTTTTGGAGAAAACTAAAAGCAGTGAAATGGCCTTGGAGTCTGTCATTACATAATATTAATCAGCTTCTGCCCCTCAGGGCTGGCAAAAGCATTTGCCTTCCCCCCCTCCCCGCAAATATTTTATGACAAGGACCATATCATGATAATACCATCTGAAACTTATTCTTCAATACAGTTCCCTTAGTCTCCAATGGGAAAGAATGAGAATGAACTGATTGCAAAAATAGAAGCCTCCATTGTCATGAGGGAATTAAAGGGGAAATAAAAAAAAAAGGTCAACAGTTCTAAATAAGTGTTCTAGATATCTGCTCTCTTTAGCCTTAATACCATGTGGAAGTTTATCATCCTGATCTAGGTCATGACACAGACTTATTAAGTGTTCCAGACTGGTATTCTGTAATGAGGACAGTTAAGAAGAAGAGGATATCATATCTTATATTGTGCTTGGAGCAGTGAATTCTCATTTCATACAGCGTGGGGATGAAAGAGGACGTCCATGTACAGGGGTGGAGAAGGCAGATGGGAAAGAAAGTAGTGAGAGACAGAAATGTGTGAGAGAGCTGAGCAAGAAGAAAACAGACATGAGAGAAAGCAACTCTACAGTAGCTTGTTAATTATAGTTAGATTGTAGGGAAGTGTTGTATGTGTTTGACTGGACCAGTTTCAGGACTTTGGTATTGTCTGGTGATTTGTTTGATGGTTTTAATATGTGATAGAATATTAAATTTGAAGGGCATTCCAGCATCTGTTTGGACATTCAAAAGATGGCTTCCACGATGAAGTAATATCAAAAATTAACGACATATTTTCTTTTCAATCTTGTTCATCACTAGGCCACAATTTTCAGGGCCTTTAATCCTATAATAACTTTTTCTGACTTGGTGCCATCCAGATATGTTAGCTTGCACAGTCATTGGGATTATGGGAACAAATTTGGAGGATACTAAATTGAAGAAAACATGTAATGTCTGTTCATGCAAAGTATTTTTATGCCTTTCACAGTGCTAAAGCAAGTTAATGCCAAGTCTGGGTTTCTTAATTAGGTACTAGGGTTCAGTGTGTTTTATTGAAATGTTCATTGCATATTTAGTTATCATTGATTATCACAGCTTGACTCCCTACAAAGGAAATGATGGGTTATTATAGCTTGGAACCTTACACCTAAGCTCAGACATAGCATAACTCAATTTGTCATAAGTATCAACCTCTGTAATGCCTTGCTCAACATCAGAACAAACTAGACCCTGCTTAAATGGGATCAAATAAGACATTAAACTGCAGGTGTTTCTTTCAGAGGTGGTAGACAATTGCACTTTAGACAGATTAGAATCAAGCACTGAAACAGACACAGTGGGACAAGGTTAAATGCTGGGTAAGAAGGGAATATGTGTCAGCCCAACAAGATAGACTAGACTAAGAAACCAATGCCATATAGGTCAGGACTACTTCTAGGCCTGGGCTCAAGCCCCTCTTATCTGACTTTTGCCTTTCTAGCGGCTCTTCCTACTGCCTTCAAGGCCATGCCCTATTCCCTCTATATAATATATGAGCTTGATGTTCATTCCTGATTAATAAACTATAGCTATGAATATGATTTCTGAAAAGCTTTCTCAGTATCACTCCCTTTTCATAGCTTAAATTAGCCCCTGGAGCACAGTAGTAATTGTTTGCAGTCTCATTTTCAGAGGTACGGTGATAAATTGTGAAGTGCAGAAGCCCTTGCAACAGCCCCAATAACCAAAGGCTGTCCCAAAGGTAGTAATTCACCTACTCACTCGCATCCGCCATTAAAATGTAATTGGCAGCATAATGTCTAACTGATTAGGATTAGCAATAGACTGAACCTAGAATATTGTGTCTGATACTAAGCAGTCCATTTTAGGAGGGATAGTGATAAATTGGAATATGTCCAGAGAAGAGCATCTGAGATGATAAGGAGCCTAGAAGGAAAATATATGAAGAACAGTTGGAGGTGTGGAATATGTTTAGCCTGGAGAAGAGAAGACTGCATGGAGATGTGATAGCTATCTTCAAGAATTTGAAGACTGTCTGCAGTGAGACTGCTATATGTACAAAGATGGAAAGATACTGAAATACCCCCAATGGACGAATAGCTGGTGAAGATGACAGAACCTGCAGAAATGGCAAAATTGACTTTTTTGATTAGAGAGAAGACAACAAGTACATTTATTAGTGACAAGAAACCCTTTATGGACTTTTGCTGAAAATGGAAAAAAAATGAATTGGTGATTTATGGATTTGATGATTGGAAAGAGTAAAATATGGGAAGAAGGGAATTATGATGTGACTTTAAAGAGGGAGGATAGATGACAAATTTATTTGTAACTGCTGTGAAGATGATCAGAAGCGGCTTCTTTATATATTTTCTCTTTCTCTTTTCTTTTTTCTGTTTATTTACTACATTACTACTTTATTTTCTACTTACTCTTTCTATACTTTTCTTTACTCTTTTTATTTTCTTTAAACCTATACCATATGCTTGCTTTTATTATTGTATAAAATTCTTTAATAAAGAAGGAAAGGGGGAAAAAAACACTTTGGTTTTATTTGCAATGCTTTATGCCACCTTTCAAAACCAGGTTTAGATGTGATATCATGCAAAAGAAGTAAACAGGCTTTTCAAAGGCCTGAATAACACTATTAAAGGCATCATATTGCTAAATCTGTATGACATTTGGTAGCCAATTAATTCCATTTTCCTTGCAAATACATAAAATTAATACTATCCTTTCATTTGTTATTTCCATTCTGTTTTGCCATATGCTTTTCTAAGCTGTCATTCCTTTCTTTCTTTTCTTTTCATCATCTTTGTGTTTTGTTTTTAAAGTTGTACGCATCCATTAGATTGAGGCTAACTCTAGGGTAAACATCAACGTTTTGCCTTTATTTGGTTTGTTACCATCATACATTATGTCAAGCAATTCTGTGGTTTGGCAAGCCACAGAACTGTTCTTTTGTTGTGTAGGATCTAAAAAAGTGGATTGCCACCCCTCTTTCTCTTTCTTCATTTTACCATTTGCTTTGTCTGTCTCTCAGGCTGGATCATCCAGTTCTTCATGTTTCTTGGAATGATGCTGTTGCCTTTTGCACATGGTCAGGAAAACGGTTACCAACTGAAGCCGAATGGGAATACAGCTGTCGGGGAGGCCTTGAGAATAGGTACTCAGCATTATTTTGTAATTTTCCAAAGAAATAAGTTTAGCAAAGAAAGCTGCAGTGTATCTTCTACGTAGTTATAGGAGGTGTTTGAATTCTCAAGTGACCTCAACTTTTACAAACAACAAAATTAAACTTACAATTTTTGCAGCTCTAAAATGACAAATCACTTTTTTTCCCAGAGGTTATTTAAGTTAATGTAGTCAACAGTATTGAAATTTAATGCTCTATTATAAAATTTCTGTAGAAGTACAAGCTGCCAATATCTGTTTTAATCTA